ACCATTTGTTGGGTGACTTAATTACTAGAAGTAAAGAGGTCAGCAGCAAAATGAAAGGAATAGTGAAACACACAGAGTACGTCTACACCGCAGTGTTATTTAGGAAAAATTGACGTTATTCTGAAATAACACAATCCGCCTCTACACTACAAGCAGTCATTTCAACATAATGTCAAAATAATGTCAAGCTGGAGGATGTCTTATCTGAGTCCTGTAACCCTCATTTTATGAGAAGTAAGGGAAATCAGAGGAAGAGTGCTCTTCCTCAGACTTCCTGTTGTGTAGACAGTGCCAAAAGCTAATGTAAACTATTTCTGCTTAAGCTAGGTAATTGATGGTAGCTCAAGTTGCATAGCTTATTTCGGCTTTAGCTCTACTGTGTAGATGTGCCCATACTGTTCAGGGTTTCAGCAGCCCCTACGCCGCATGCTCCCAAGTCGTCTTAAACTGTTTTAGTAGTAAGATCTGGGAAAAATTAGTAAATCTACTCTTATTGTGAAGATTAGAATCATCCATCACTGAAATCACAACACCCATAAACTGCTTTTCATCCAAGTGTAAACTTGTCCGCTTTGCTAAACTGTCTTTATAGAAGAGATCCATATTATTCATTAAAGCTGTATAGCTGCTGTAAAACATGGAGATTAGAGGCTTTAGGGGTTCTTTCTGCCCTGTGGTCATGTTACATTATAGCAAGTTGCGCTTGCAGTCTTGTGGGTCTAGAAAGCTACAAGGTAGCCTGACAAAGCAGTAAGTCTAGTATTAGTATTTTTACACTGGTGAAATACTCCAAGGTATTGACTGATCTGCCAAGTCAAGAAGTTACAAACATCAAGCCTTTAAGGCACTGTACAATCTGTCAGAGCCTCTCACTACTCAGTTACTGATGGGACTTCAGCAAATTGATGGTATTCACTTTCGACAATGCCCTGTTCTCCCTAGATTCTGCAGAAAGAGTGGAGAACATATGCTTTTACCAAGGGTATTTTATGTTGGCTATTGTGGTTGCTTGTCCTACACATTAATTGTGTACAAGTGGTAGAGCAAAGGACTGAGATTCATTGACTCACCAAGTTGCCTTGGATCAGTTTTCAGCAGCTATAAGACTGAGTAGAAGAAAGTTGCAGTAATCTCAGTTAATAAAATGTACAACCTGATACACAAAAATCTTTTCTTTTAATAAAATGTACAACCTGATACACAAAAATCTAAGAAAAAATACTGGCTAAAATATCAGAAAGGGCTGATGCAATGTAAACAAACACTCATATACAAAGTAATGCTCTGAAGCAATGCAACCAAAGGAGTAGAATTGATTTTAATAGGGAAGACTAAAAGGATTTCTCTACTTTCTGTACAAATTTGCAAAATGGCCTAGAGCATAAACCCATAGTGAGTTGTCCTGCATGGGAAAATTTGCAAAAGAATTTGGAGGAAGAAAAAAGGTGCCAAGTACCAATGAACATGCATTATTATTTAATGAAAGTTTAGATATATAATAAACATTTGTTTTTAAGTTATAGGAACGCTATCCTTGTTTTGTGTATGTAGCTCATAGGTAGGTGTGATGTTTACAGTTTTTAAAAAGACAAACCTCTGGTCATGAAGGTTATGTCTAGATGCAGATTAGGCAGGTCGACATTGCAAATGAGGCAGGGATTTAAATATCCCGTGCCTAATCTGCATAAAAATGGCCATTGTGTTTTGCCGACTCAGCACTTTGTTGGCAAAAAGTGGCAGTCTAGAGGGGGATCTGTCAAGAAAGAGCCTTTTTTTGACAGATCCTGTAAACCTCCTTGCAGGAGTTGCCTTTCTAATGGCTCATTATTAATATTCATTTTTAAGTTGTTAATTGAGAGAACAAAGTTGAAGAAGAGGTCAGAAGTGGACAGAACAGAGAAAAACTAACTGCAAAAAGTGGAAAATCAAAAATCTGTAAAAATGAGACCAGGAAGCATCATCTTTTACCCATGCTGTAGATGCACATTATTATATAGTCATTCTGGAATAAAATCTGAAGCAGCTAGTACTATGGCCAAGATAAATCTGATAGAAAATATTTCAGAACTTGCTCATATGCAATATTTTTGCTAACACTAGCTAAGAAATGTATCTGGATGGTTTGTACTATTAAAGATCAGTCCACTCGGATGCCATAGATAAATATTGCTAAATAACATTCATAAAACAAATTATCATCTGGACTGACAGCAACAGTTGACTTTTTTATCAATCAAAAAATAATGACAACTTATGCAGATGAGTAAACATATCGTAATTGCTATCCTGGAAACTCTTGACATATATTGCTATATTAACTTTATATATACAGTACTGTAAAAGTATTTGCAGAACCTCATTAAAATTATGCATAGAATTATAGAATCCTAGAACAGAAATGGACCTCAAGAGGTCATTGAGTCCAGTCCCCTGCCCTCACGGCAGAACCAAGCACCATCTAGATCATCTCTGATAGGTGTCTGTCTAACCTGCTCTTAATTATCTCCAGTGATGGAGATTCCACAACCCCCCTTAGGCAATTTATTCCAGTGTTTAACCACCCTGACAGGTAGGAAGTTTTTCCTAGTGTACAACCTAAACCTCCCTTGCGGCATTTGAAGCCCATTGTTTCTTGTCCTACCTCAGAGGTTAAGGAGAATAATATTTCTCCCTCCTCCTTTAACACCCTTTTAGATACCCGTGGGACCTGAGTGGTCCTGAGCAAGGGAATTTTTAGGATCAGGGGAAGTCAGGCCTCCGGGTTCTCCTGGAGCTCCCCTCTTAGCCACTATCCAGGGAGAATCCAGGGGCTTGACCTCCCCCAGCCCACCTTCCTGGCTGTGCTGTTCCCAGCCTGGTGTGGGACTCTGCTTCTGGCTGCCCTGCTATGCGTGGGGTCTCAGCTATTCTCAGGGCTCCCAGCCCCGCATGGCACAGCAGCCTCTCACAGGGCTCCCAACCCCCAGCAACCCAGCTCCACACAGGATGACAGTCATTTCTAGGGCTCTTTGCCCCCAGGCCACTGGCATTGCAGACTACCAGCCACCAGTCTGACTCCACTCCCAGCTACTCTCAGTCTCTGTGACTGGTGCTGTCTGGTCTAGCAACATTCGTGGTCTGCCAGACTTCAGATGTTACCGGACCAAAGAGGTTCAACCCGTCCTTGAAAGCTATTATTTATTATTTCCCCTCTCAGTCTTTTCCAGACTAAACAAATCCAGTTCTTTCAGTCTTCCCCCACAGGTCGGCTACATCTACACTGGCCCCTTTTCCGAAAGGGGCATGTTAATTTCACAGGTCGTAATAGGGAAATCCGCGGGGGATTTAAAGTAGGAATAAGATCCTCCGGAAATGGGCGCTTTTTCCGGAGGATCGGGGCCAGTGTAGACGCTCTTTTCCGGCTTTTCTAAAAGCCGGAAAAAAGCGGCGGACATTTTTATTTAAATGCCGCGGGGGATATTTAAATCCCCCGCGGATTTCCCTATTACGAGTAGCCCAGGGGTTTTCGCATCCAGGGTACGGGCCTGCTCTTCTGGTATTTTTGCGGAAGAGCAGATGTGCTCTTTTGAAAGCCCTGTCTTCCTCCTCCCACGAGGAAGAAAGGTTCTTCTGAAAGAGGTTTTTTTTTTCCCATGTTTCTAGACTTTTAATTTTTTTGTTGCTTTTCTCTGGACCCTCTCCAATTTCTCCACATATTTCTTGAAATTTGGTGCACAGAACTAGCCACGTTGCTCCACTTGAGGCCTAATCACCACAGAGAAGAATGGAAGAATTATTTCTCGTGTCATACAACACTCCTGTTAATGTGTCCCAGAATGATGTTTACTTTTTTTGTAACTGTGTCACGCTATTGACTCATATTGAGCTTATGATCCGTTATGATCCCTAGATCCCTTTGGCTGAAGATGAACAAATAATTGAAGGAAACTCAGCAAAAGAAATCTCTCTGTAGATTTTTATGTTTGTTATCCCTATACATTTTTGGATTTGTCTTATATTTCTAGATATTCTGTTCAACACAGGTAAACAAATGTAAGACTTTTTGCAAATAACTGAAATACTCAAGAGTGTCTTTGTCATTTCACCTTTCAGTTACCCAGTTTTACCTGTCATGTGTCTTGATTTCTTGCCAAATGTGAAAGGGTAATAAACTGCAGCAATTAATTTTAGGATTAAATTGATCTTTGTTTTTCAAAAGTTAATTGAAAATTTTAAAACCTGACAGGTGCCAAACCAGGGAATTTGCCAAACCTATGGGAGGTCAATGTTGTAGTGAGTGGTTCTCTTTTCATTTTTATTTCACCACCGTGAATAAATGGAACAATGATTGTAATGCTGCTTAGTAATGTATGTCTGTACTGATACACCCTACATAAGCCTATGCCTAGCCAAGGCTGATCAGTTCTCTTTATAACAAACTTAGTGTTGTTACATGATTTTACTGTATTGGCACAAGGAAATAAGTAGATAAAGCATAAAAACCATGCTTAACACTGCTACTGCTTACTGGGCTCTTAGAAGACATTTGGGGTAAATTAGAGCTAAATAACAGCACAGAACACTGAGAGCCAGGAGTGACCACTGTAAACAAACTTTATGGGACCATGGGAAACTTGGCCACGCTCATGGTAAGTGAACATGTGGGTAACTAAAATTATTCTGGAGCATGAATGTTGACAGACCAGAGAGTGTCAGACTAGAAAGGTTTTACCTGTATGTACAAACCTTCCACCACTGTATCATTATGTGCAAAGTGAACTCTTCACAAAATTATAGAAGTCACCATAAGGTCAAAAGTGTCCAAGAAAAAGAGATTAATAGTAGAAAATGAGACAAGATTGGTTTTCCTTCTGGCCCAATGTCCTTCTGCTATCTGTTAAAAAGCGGGTTTTGTTGATTTTTCTCCCTCAAAACAGAACATATACAGTAAAACCTTACTGTTTTTATTATTTGGCTAAAAAAAGAGCAAGTAACTTTAACTAGTATCCTTTTTATTTTAGGTGCAACAATGAAAATGAATGGTATCAGATCCATGAAAACATTATACGCAAGTCTAGCACCAAGTACTCGGCACCCAGCTCAAACTATGGTAAATATTTTATTTTATTTTATTTTATTTTTTTGCTAGAGTAACCCTTAATTGTATTTTGATTACTGAGAATTTTTTGTAGGCAAGTTATACTGTCACACCTAGTCCATTGCAAATCATCAAATGTTCTTCTAGATGTTTATTTATACTGGTGTTAGTACTTTCTCAGGTAAAAATGTATACTGCATTATAATTCCCAAAATTTACTCTCTGCAAATGGCATTCAGGGGTTCCATGTTTGTTTTTTTAATCATCTCCACGTAAAATGTCTTCAGTTTACAGGTTAAAAAAAAAAAAACTCTTACAACCCTGCCTACAAAATTGAATACACTGCATTATATCCATTTTATGCACTGTTAA